AGGTGAAGGTGTCCAGAATATTATAATACATCTCAACAGAGTGACATCTATCATCTTTGGAACATGTATTGAAATATTTGCAATTGTTACTACCAAAGTTCGTATGAATACAAAGTGAGACTTAATTTTCTTGTGAAAAACGCCCACCAAATTAATTGGTAATTAGAGTAAGTTTTGATAGGTAATTGGTATGTCTGAAACGGGAATATTCAATTCCGTCTGTTTGTACAGTGTATTGAAATGGAATTTTGGATATGTGGCGCTCGGAGTTAATTAGAAATTGATTGCGAAGCCTTACGATAGTTGTGACGCCTGGCTTCCACCACCCGTGCTTAATGTGCCGGAAAATTGTTCGTGTTTATTTATAATCATATTTAGTAACTGTATTTTAAATAATTCTCTAGCAAATTTGTAGATGTACACTTATCAATAATGACTCACGGAACCTAAACATGGTCGTACACGGTTGCCCGTATGCAAAACCCTTAAGTTACTCGGCAAGCTATGGAGGTAACTATGCTAGGAGTTTCTTAACGTGATAGAATCTGAAATGAGGATATTAGCAGAAGAACAAACTGAATTGAATAGAAAAAAGAGAGATATATATATAGAACAAGCTGAAGTGGCAAAGGGCTGGTCACGTTGCTCGAAGAACCGACGACCGATGGGGAAGAAAAGTTCATTTGTGGAGACCCCGTGCAGACAAAGGCAGTGTAGCACAACCTCGCACTATATGGAACAACGACCCCAAATGCATTGCAGGGAGTAGATAGATAGATGGATAGATACTCTTTATTATTTCCTCCAAAAGAATATAATAGTAAACTTATTATAAATATATATATATATATATATATATATATATATATATATATATATATATATATATATATATGTACTTACTTAATTCTATAACATACATTGAGAAATGACAAACAAACTGACGGCCCACCTGATTGAATGTGGTAACCATTGTCGCCTATAGACATGAACAACACAACGGCATTCACAGAATACTCTACAAATGCCACCATTTAAGAGTGTCCATTCTTGAGAACTGCGGTATTAAGGTAAGGAGGCTGCCTTGTAATCTCACTGTCAAATCCCACGCTACAAACCAAAACACTGCCATGTAAACACAACTGCTTAACAGCAAAAACATAATCATATCAGCTTTTACTGTCCACTGCTGAACATAAGCCTCCCCCTAGGGGGTTTAACCGGAGGAGAAGGGCTTGTTAGTGATGGGGACTGCCAGTCCCATTGCTAGCAATACACCCTGCCAGGTCGACCTCCCCGTGATCCCCCCTGGAAACCATCGTGCTAAATGCCAGGTGTATCTATCACGGTGGGCTAACTGACCTGCCTTTTCATTCTCACCTATCATCCGCTAGCGTATACCGTTAGCGCAGGCGGGGTTACCATTCCATTGTCATCCACTAAAAAAACAAAGGGATTTAGCCAATAGTTGCCACGCTTCGCAATTAGGCTTTGGAGATGTTTTAAGAGGGCCCTGCTGCCCAACCGTGGCCCTCCCTTAGTCGCCTCCTACGACACCCACAGGAAAGGAATGGGTGGCCAATTCTATGCCAGAACCACACGGCGAAACATGAATAGAACAGAGATATTTAAGCAGCCGACTTCTGTAGTCTTCCACCTGCAAATAGAGGCAAAAAAAAATTGTTTATTTCTGCTTAAAATGTAATGTAAATTAAGTTAATAATGAATACAATATTGGTTATTAATCAACATGTAGTATTCGATGGAATTATCAGCGGTGAAATCGAAATATATCAAGCCCTATTGATATTATACAAATATCCAAGCCAATAATATTCATATTGAATGTAAATTCAACATTTCGAAATCTGTAACTACCATATATGTGATATTCAATAAAGAATATTTTGTATTCGTTAACCGGTAGATTATACTGCAGTTTAATAAACCCAGTTTTGTCCACGCTAGATAGTAATAAAACCATAATTAACGCCCCTAGCACAGTACAAATATAAATCATATATGTACGTCGTATAGCTCCCAGTGTACAGTACAACAGAGATACGCCTACATTTACTTGGTAATAATACCATATCAATCAATGCTATGCTTTTTTTTTTTTATTTACAGTGTGTTATAAATATGGCTTTACAAAACTAAACCAGGAATGAAAAATGTAAACCTATAAACATAACAGAAAAATTGAGATAAGACGAAATATCTTCACTGTTTTAAATTACTTAGAAAAACACAATTTTTTTATTCATCCGATTCTTTTGCTTCGTTCCGCGATTACGTCGCCAATTCTGAGCCGATTCTTACGATTCTTGTTGCAATCAATTAGATTTACTTTTTTTTATACCACTGAGGTTTCAAACAAGCATACGGCCTACCTGATGATAAGCGGTTACCGTAGCCTATGAACGCCTGCAATACCAGAGGTATTACACGCGCGTTGCCGACCCTGAAAAAACCTCTTTACCTACCTTTTAAAGAAATCCATGCTGTTCATTGCTGTAGTGCTTAGGAAAGTAGTAAGCTTGGTAGGGAGCTTATTCCATAACCTGAGCCCTTGTGGGAGAAAACATCTCTGAAACCGCGTTGTACGCGACCATTTAGGCTGTAGGGTATGAGGGTGAACTCCCTGTCGATGGCGAGCCGTGAAAAAATCAAAATCCATTCCTTAAAACTAGTGTTAGTAATCAAATTGTGTCTTTATTTTGCTAGATTTTTTTAAATTACCATTACTACTACATAATACAAGGTATACACACATATCTATTATTATGTTTTTTATTTAATGAGTGATAATGGTGTAGTTACCCCGCCCGCGCTATCGGTATACACTGGCCGGGCACCAGTGAAGGGTGATAGGTGAGGATAAAGCAGGTCAGTTAGCCCATCGTGACGAATTCAACTAGAATTGTTCACAGTGGTTCCCAGGGGGAACCACGTGGAGGTCGACTTAATAGGGTATATTGCTAGCAATGGGACTGGCAAACTCCATTGCTAACAATCCCTTTCCCCCCTCTATTATGTATTGATGAAATTATTATTTTTTTTTTTTGATTTTTAACAATATAAAGATTTTAAATTTTGGTAATATTTTTTTTTATTTATTAAGAAAAAAACATTTTTGAGACCCTATTAATGAATAACTAACCCTAGTTTTAAGGAATGGATTTCATTAATAAACACTGTATATTTGTTCTACCTTCAGGACTTTACTATTTTATGTATATATTTTTTTATTTTACAAAATGTATTCAAATGTGAATATAAAAATACCAGAAGTTCTCACAAAACGATAAATAACGAAGTAATCTTTAAACCTCTCGCAATCAGACTGCCAACAGTGTCCGGCAACTGTCAACTTTATTCCAATACATTAAAGGCGACATTGTCGGCTGCTATTTTTTGCTCCATCTAGCCTGTTAAGTAATATAATATCCCCGTGACATTTTCCATCTGTATGCAAATGCACCGGCGACGAGACAAGAACGGGACGGGGCTGAGGCCGCGACGAGTTCGGAATGAAAACGTCTTTAAATACAAGTAATGTCTGCATAGCCATTAACAATGCTTGACAATGTTGACAGTTTGGTCTTATATGGAGTCTCGTATTATAAATACAGCTTATAAACTTGATAAGTCGACTCTTATACAGTTATTAAAGCTGCTTAGATCATGGGATTTTTAAACTTTTTAAAAGTTTTTAAATTTAAACTGATGTTATAAACAGGAAAGATTTCATTTTTTTGGGTGTAATGAAATGAAATTTTGTCACGGATTTTGAGAAAAGTAACCGCTTCTAGTGTACCACTTCAAGAACACAACTATGAAAATTGCATTCGTCTTGGTGTAATAGTTTTTACGTGATTACAGAACAAACATACAGACAAACATTCTAGAACTTACCGTTTTGGCTTCTAATGCCCTTATTAAAATCCCACTATGATTTCCTAAATAATTCCTATGTACAGACATAGTTTTGATACAATTTTGTTATTAGTATGGAAGCCAGTTTGATATCGGTCTTAAATCGCCAGCATGTACACCTATTTTTTTTTTTATTTATATAATTTCTATGTATTTAAGTATTGTTTTGTAATGCTCTTAGTGTTAGTTATATCAATGTTAGTTATATAAACATATTTATCATTCTTATTAATATATAAATAAATATAAATTAAAATATTAAAAAAAAAATTATAAAAAAAAAAAACAAGATTTAAAAACCCAAGCACTTTATTCACATTGTCTAACAAAAACCGTGATAAGTTAAATACTTATCAAAGATAAAAAAAATAGGAGAAGATATTATTATAATAATCTATTAAGATTTAATTTTAATTTTAAAATAACAATAGTCAATCAAAAACAATCTTGAACGTTAATTTTGGGAAAACACTTAAACTCCCAATAGACAAACGCTGCTGTCTACTTAGTGCATCAAGTGAGCGAATTGAATGAGGGCCCATCGGGAGTAAACAAGAATTGATCGCGTCATTTATAACGGAGCGATTTAGATAGCCCGCGCGACGCGCCGCCATCACTCACGGGCCGCGGCGGACGCGGGACGAGCGCGAGACGGGCGCGGGACGGGCGCGGGCCCCGCGCGGGACGCGTACGTGAGACGCGCGCCGAGTCAGTGTAGTGTAGGGATGCACGTAGTTGGCAAAATATCGATACAACATAGACAAGTGATACATTAGTGGCTGCAGCGTATGTGTGCATGAGATAGAGCAAAAGCGAAACAGAAGCATCCTGCGTTTTGCTTTTTAAGTGTGCGTTAACAATAACAAATGTGTTATATTAATTATATCTATATTTGTTTGCTACTTCTATAAAGGAACTGCTCTCTAGACAAATGGCAAGCGAATTCTCCGATGGCATCAACATCGCTAGTTCGTGAGATAGAATGAGATAGCAACGCCGGATGTCTCATTCTAACTCACGGACTCACACAAGGACAACACACTAACTTATCTAGAGGGCCAGTGGTATTTATATTTAATATTGTTAACTTAATAATAATCCAATAATCCTGTTTTAGATTGCTTAGATTAATACAGGATTTCTGAAATCTAGCTAATTATTATAACTTCTAACCAGCATTGATAGCACATAAATATATTAATATGTCGATATTTTTCCTATAATACTGATATTGTGATACTGAAATAAAAATTTACATGTCTGTATACGAGCTGACTATATTGTATAAATGTAATATAATTAAAACTTTATATAATACCGCATTTTGCAAATAAATAATTCGAATTGATTAAAGATCCCAGTATCGATATTAAATTATGTATATTTTAGTCCTTGATGCCGATAATATCGACAAATACCGCTCCCCCCTGGGCCGGCGGCGAGGGAGCGCGTCAAACATCTTCCCGTTATTGTTTTTTTACTCTCCTGAATTATGTCCTCAATGTGGCTCTGTGCGTTATGTGCGCGATTACGCGGCCGCGCTGCGGTGCGATTGACTTTTTGTAAGTTGATCGGTTTATCGCCGCTTGTTTTTTCTGCTCCATCCTGGAATGTAATGGATGTGTTTTATTTCTGTACTTTTTAAAGATATTACTCTGTTTTTGGGTGAAGTTATAAAGGCCTCAATTATAATGTTTTTATATTTTTCTCATTACGGATTAATCCTACGTATATTATTTTTAGACAGCAATTCTAGATAAGAAATCGTAAGAATAAGCTCGCATCGTAAAGCTCGCTGTGACTTACAAATCTTTCACATCATATTTCCATAATCATATTTCACCAAAATTACGCCGTATATTCTTATATATTATTACTATGCGAAATTATGACAATTATTATTAAATCAGCCATTAACTGTCCACTGCTGGACATAGGCTTCCCTCATAAGGGAGGTTTGGTATTAGTTGCCACGTTTCGCAAGTGGGTTAGCAACCGCAGTTAGGCTTTAGGGATGTTTTAAGAGCTGCTGCTCATCCCTTGGTCAATAAGCTTCCTTAGTTGCGTCTTACGACACCCACAGGATAAGAAGGGATAGCCCATTCTATGCTGGGACCAGAAGGCTTAACAAATATGCGTATACTTTCTTAATAATATTATTTAACAATGTTAATTGAAAGTTCAGTAAATTTTGTAAATTTTACTATTTACATAAAGCAGTTTACTGTACATATCATTTTTCTTTTTTACCATAGATTAAACAACATGCAAACGAATGTATCGAAAGAATAATAATCAACGGTGAACGCCGCTCCATCATTTCATCACATTTAGAAATAGCAAAAACGTCTTTATTGATATTTTCGTTTACCGTTTATCTAGAGCCTTACCTGTGCCATATTATCTCAATTATTAATATGAATACAGCCAGCAAAATAAGTAGAAAGAACAAAAAGAAGGCAGGAGCAGCTTGGCCGAGGGCGAGCGCGCGCGGAGTGCTCCCCGAGCACGCGGGCGTGACGGCGGCGACTCGTGCGCGTGACGCTGTGTAGTGCCCGCGCTCGAATAAACGCATAAGACTGTCAAAAAAATTTTATTTTTTAAAGTTAAATAAGAAGATGTAATACCTCCTTATCCATAAGAAGGTCAAATCTCCTATAAACCTATTTTAGCTATAGAAATATTTTTCTTTTTTGCGTTAATTTCGTAATTTAAAAGCCAGTGACAAGATACTAATAGTTGAAATAGACTTGTAGGATATTTTAGTTTTTGTGAATAAGAGGGTTGCTCCACTCTCCTATTGGTTACTCTGACTCTATAAACTGTATAGCGCTGGAACTAATTGCTTAAATTCATACAAACTTTCCTTATCAAAAATGTATGATACTGAATCCATAGTAGTAGGTTCTTACTTTGGAGGATCTGTAAGATTCAGAGGGTCCACTGCTGGATATAGGCCTCCTCCATAGATCATTGGGGAGTTTTACAGTAGTTGCCATGCTTGGCAGGTGGGTTGGCAACCGCAATCAGGACTTTGATGATATTTTAAGAGGGACGCTGGTGCCTCCTCTCCGCTGGTATTCCTCGATTATAAGCTCCCTTAATTTTCTCTTAAGACTCCCACGGGAAAGGAAGAGGTGGTCCATTTTATTCCGGGAGCTACACGGCAATGTTTATTTTTTGATGGGTGAAAATGGTATGGTAACCCCACCTTCGCTAACGGGATACGATGGCGGAGCACCAGTGAAGGGTGATAGATGAGAATAAAAACAGGCCAGTTAGCCCATCATGATGAATTCATCAGGAATTAACCATGAAAGTTTCCAGGGAGAACCGCGAGGAGATCGACCTGGTTGGATATATTACTAGCAATGGGATTCTCAGTCTCCATTACTAACAATCCCTTTCCCCCCACACGGCAATATTTCCTACATAACCAGCTGCAATTTACCTCCATATAAAGAACTCCTTATAAGGGCTCTGCTTCTGCGCCATAATGTAGACATACGCTGGCGCCATCATTTGCAGGGATCCCAGTGCACACAGCTCCCGGTCTTCGAAGGTTTTCGATATCACTTGATTGGCTGTATACGGCTCAGTATGGTAAGCAAACCCTGGCAAAAGGACAAATAGAAACTTGAAGGTGCTGTTGTGTTATGGTTTCGTGATTGACCATAATTTTACATAATTTTAAGTTATGGCACCTCTGTCCCATTCGTGTTTCTACCGTGAAGAAGTTGTATTTGCATGGCTGTGTTTCGGTTTGAAGGGTGGGATATGGTGTGAAATTACTGGGTACAGAGGAATAACACTTGAGTCCTCAGGAATGGCAACGCATGGGGGGTATCATGGGCGAAACAGTACACTCTGTTATGTCCATGGTACTGCTCATGTCTATAGGCGACGATTACCACTTTCCATCAGGTGGGCCGTCAGCTTGTTTGCCATTCTAAGTTGTATAAAAGAAAAATCGCAATCAATATGAAATTAATACAAAAGAAAATCCCTTACAAATACAAAAAGAAATTTCAAAATTGATAACATATCACATACGAATACAGGGGAATATAAAACGTCTCTGTTATGAAGTCACATGAGACTACAGTTTGACTTAATCCCTTTGCCCCTTTCACTATCACTTGTATTCACTATCACGCCTATTTACCTTAATTTCCACTTTACCGAGCCCTTGCAATCTCATTATGTAAAACTTAATACGTACAACTGCGCAGTATCCGTAAATGTATTCATACCTCAAATCGTTTCGTATTAAACTGGCTAATCCCTAAATCATATTATTCCGCTACTCACAATAACCGAATGCTATTAATCTTTAAGCCTACGATTGTTCCTTGCAGTGTCGTCAACTTCAAAGCGAATGAAGTAAAGGTAAATGTGTAAGGAAAGCGCCCTTTGGCACGTGGTTCTCATTGCCTACCTTATAATGTGCCTTGTGTGAATACAGAGAATGAGAGGGGGGGGGGGGGTGTTAGTAATGTGGACTACTAGTCCCTAGCAATAGTCGGCCTCCACGTAGTTCCCCCTGGAAAACAATGTATTGAATTCCACGTGTATACTTCACGATGAGCTAACTGACTTGCCTTTTCGTTCTCACCTATCATCCCTCACTGGTGCTCCGCCAGCGTTTCCCGTTAGCACAGGTGGGGATACCATTCCATTATCATCCAATGAAAAAGTAGCCATGTTTCGAAGTAAAAGGTCATTTCATTTTTAAATTACAGGACAGATATGAGTTTACATCTGGCCGCAAAACACGACAGATGGCTTTTTATGTAACTTTTGCCGGCCGCTGCCCGCTTGTATGTGTCCAGTTTTGGGAAATAGGTATTTTGTTGATGATTGATTGACTGATTGACAGACCGTCAGACTGACTGACTGACTGACAGATTAACTGACTGACTAAATTATTGACTGACTAATTGAATGACTGATTGATTGACTGACTGATTGACTGACTAACTGATTGACTGACTGATGGACGGACTGAGTAACTGTCTGACTAAATTATTGACTGACTAATTGAATGACTGATTGATTGATTGACTGACTGACTGACTGACTGACTGACTGATTGACTAATTGACTGACTGATTGAGTGACTGATGGACTGACTGATGGACTGATTGACTGACTCACTGGTGGACTGATTGATTGATTGACTGACTGACTGACTGATTGAGTGACTGGTGGACTGATTGACTGGCTGACTGATTGACTGACTCACTGATGGACTGATTGACCGATTGGTTGACTGATTGATTGATTGATTGATTGACAGATAGATAGACAGACAGACTGAGAGGGACAGAGGTCCCCAGCAATCGACTTTTGTACAAAGTCTCCATCTGGTGGTTAACGATATAGAGTTATCACCTGACAAAAAGTACTATATTGAGTTCAGATCTATAATCCAATTACTCATTTAAATAATTTTTAATTTTAAATGAAACTTTCTGTGCATCAAAATAGTTGAAACTATTCGCTTTATTTGCCTGATTAAATCAAATAGTACATTACTGCAGCGGCCAGCAACTGAGGCATTGATGGACGAACGTGCAAATCCATCAATGCCTAGTTGTGGCCAAGACTTGTATAGTACTTTTCTCAAACAATGCGCGGAAATCAAAAACCACAATTTTACTTTTTAAATTCAATGACGAATAAGGAACAATAATAATTTTTAACGCGCCATAATGTTCCTTTGTTTTTTTTCTCAATAAACAGCTTTCTATTTGCAAGCCAGTTCAAAATTTTAATAAAACCTTGTATTAGTGACCTCCTTGATAGGCGTGTTTCGAAGTAAAATGTCATTCCATTTTTAAATTACAGGACAGATATGAGTTTACATAGTAATTTATCTGGCCGCAAAACACGACAGATATGACTTTTCATACAACTTTTACAAAAAAATGTATACTTGCCACCCTTCCGTACAAGTTCAATGCCATCCTCGACGCGTTGCATCAGTGGCACAGTTCGTTTGGCACGCGTTACCTTCTTCTCTCTCAGCTCGTCTTCTTTAACATTTTTGTAACCACTGTAGTAGAAGAAACCCGGATTCTGTATTCAGAAAAGAAAAAATGTTTGGGCATGTTACACGTGATCTAGTCCAAAACTAAGCAGAGCTTTTAATATAATATATATTTTTTTATAAATACATAGGTACATAGTATACGCAGTGTAGGCCGACCCCCCCACTTAATAGAGTGACGACCTAAAATGCATTGCAGGGAGTTAATGGATGCAGGTGGCTCAGGACCGTTCCTTATGTCAGGACTGTATCTCGGGACAGTCTATGTCGGAGGCCTATTCCCAGCAGTGGACGGATAATGGCTGAAATAATGATGCAGAACTTTCGACCTTTGAAACGAAACGAACCTTTGACCATCAGATGATGAGACTGTATTAAACTGCTACACTACTAACATCATTATAAAACAAGTGCATTATAATGTTATATCTTGTATTTATTTTTTGCGTAGGTAGATATTCTGAACTAATTTTAGATTTAACTTCAATATTCAATTTAATTTTATTTTTAAATTTGTTTTACTCAATATATAAAATACGTTTATGCTGCAAAGAAATAGCGTAAATCCTGACAGACCTATACTTACTACAATACTACCTAGCGGCGCAACCGCATGAAGTTAGCGCAAGTAGTGTGTCGTATTGGTCTGGGATAGTTTGTAGGATCATCTGCTGTTATGTTCGCACAATATACCTACAGTGCGAGTATTATAGCGGATGCACCATATTACTATTACTATAAAGTATGGTTTTGCTTGCTTAACGGATGCTTATGTTTTACGCTGTCGATAACTATAATTGGCTAGCGTGTAGTATTTTTTTTTTATGGGTGAAAATGGTATGGTAGCCCCGCCTGCGCTAACGGGATACGCTGGCGGAGCACCAGTGAAGGGCGATAGATGAGAATGAAAACAGGCCAGTTAGCCCATCATGATGAACTCATCAGAAATTAACCATGATAGTTTCCAGGCGGAACCGCGTGAAGGTAAACCTGGTTGGGTATATTGCTAGCAATGAGATTCTCAGTCTCCATTACTAACGATCCCTTTCCCCCCAGCGTGTAGTAATTGTAATGTAATATGTATTGAATTTTGTAAAAAGCTGTTATTATCCCAAATAAAATTAATTAATTAATTAATTAATGTAGTAAAGTCAACAGTCTCCACCGGCCACTAACGCACAAATAAATAGTACAAATGCAATACATTTAATATTTCCATTTTGTACAAATAACTGGCGCGTAATTAAGCTGTCAAATTTATTAGTTCACAACTTTTTAATTGCCGACACTGTAACTGAAGTAAATCCAATTTGATTCAATACACTCACAACTAACAAGTCAATATTATATATATAGTTTTCAATATACAGAATGTTTTCTTTCTAAAGTCGAAACGTTCTAATTAACACAAATTAAGAAATAGTTATTGGTACGATAACTAAAACATTGAATTTTTTTATACAACTTAGAATGACAAACAAGCTGACGGCCCACCTGATGAAAAGTGGTAACCGTCGCCTACAGACATAAGGGCATCACAGAATATTCTGTCATACCCCTAGTACCCTATATGCATTGTCTTTTTTTTCTTAATGGGTGATAATGGAATGGTAAATCCACCCGCGCTGTCGGTATACACCGGCGGGGCGCCAGTGAAGGATGATAGGTGAAGATGAAGCAGGTCAGTCAGCCCATCGTGACGAATTCGACAAGAATTGTTCACGATGGTTTCCAGGGGGAACCTCGTGGAGGTCGACCTAATAGAGCATATTGCTAGCAATGAGGCTGATAAACTCCATTGCTAACAATCCCTTTGCACAACCCCCTATGCATTGTAATTTTTAAGGACTATCTTCTTATGGTATCCTCTAATTTCACTTTACAGCAAAAAGAGCAACGGGAAGTAATTGCTAGTAATGAGGTCTAGCAACTCCTTTGTTAACAATATATCCTATTAGATCGACCTCCACGCAGTTTTCTCTGGAAAGCATCACGGCTATTTCTTGTTTAATTCGTCATGATGGGCTAAATGTTTTGTTTTTGTTTTATACAACTTAGAATAGCAAACAAGCTGAAAGTCCACCTGATGGAAAGTGATAACAGTCACCTATAGATATGAGCAGTACCATGGACATAACAGAGTATACTGTTTCGCCCATGATACCTCCCATGCGTTGCCATTTCTGAGGACTCAAGTGTTATTCCTCTGTACCCAGTAAATTCACGCCATATCCGACCCTTCAAACCGAAACACAGTCATGCAAACACAACTGCAAACACACCAAAAATGATATGCTTTTATTCCTCACTAGTGCCTCGTCAGTGTATACCGACATAGGTCGACAGGGATTACCATTCCATGTTCACTCATTCGAAAATCAGTTAAAAATATACAAGGACTTACATCCAGCCAGCCCCTGGTATAGCCTATATCCTCAAAGATGAGCTGCAGGTCGCTGTTTATGAGGCCGTCCATCGTGGCAATGGTGGGAGCTGCAGCATTCAGCAGCCAGGAGACCACGCTGCTGGTATAGTAGTTGTAAAGCAGCATACTCGTCAGACCTATTACCAGTAGTGTTACCCGACGACCTGATCAAGTATTTTTTATGTAGAATTTATTAAATACCTAGTTTCGTACCCTATCTAGGTAGATAGACCGCACGAATGCTAAAGTTTAATGAGTTAAGGGGCCGCCTTAAAATCAACGCTCTATAGGTACATCTCGCTGGAGATGTGCATATATATAGCAACAGCTCAGGCGGATCACGTTACCAGCAAAATGATTTTTTTTTCTATATTTATTGTTGTTATTTTTACCTGTAATTATTATTGTTGTTGGCAATAAAGAATCTATCTACATAGATTAGTGCACTATACCCTGATCTATTGAATAACTTTCTATGTAATTTATATTTTATATCTTTTATTTGTTAAAAATCTTTATGACACATAATTTAGATTGGACACATTAAACGATTTAATGTACAATGGCGGACTTATTCCACAGAGGGATCTCTTACAGTCAACCTTTGAGAGGCTGGAAGAAAATTATAGAATGTTCAAGGGTAAAAATAAAAATAAACTCATTAATACCTAGTTAAAATTGAACATATAATACAATAAAAAATAACTGTATATACCTTCATATGTAAATAATAACATAACCTACATAAATATATATATATATATATATATATATATATATATATATATATATATATATATATATATATATATATATATATATATATATATATATATATATATATATATATATATATATATTAACAACACATACATAGATTAATACTTAATATTCACAATTAATGAAAAAGTTTTTTAAATATTTGGAAATTGTAAATATTTACTATATTGTTTATATTTTTTTATGAACAATCTTCAGAAACGACAAGTAGGTCCTAAGTTCATAAAATACATAAAATACACACATATCGTTAAAAATGATCATAAATTTTATTTATTTTTCTTATTCACAGAAGAGAGGATTTAATACGTTTGAATTTAGAAAACTTTGTTTAGAAAAAAAAATTGTTGCATATATCTAGCTACAAACTGTCAAATATTTTATTTGCCAGTTTGTAACTAGTGGGAGGACACATTTATTAATATTTTATCTAGTATAACAGGTAAACTTCACTCACCTTGACTAGAAAATCTTTCTTCGAGTGTTTGAAAATCATCGTATGCTGGGAAAAGAAAATGATATTGCATTATACACTATATTACAATATACTAATAATAAATATTAGTTTTTAATATAAAAATACTATATTAGAATGTATGTTTATTTTAAATACAAATTAATTATACTTGTACGTATGTAATTTACTTCTTAATCTGCCATCGAGCATCTTTGCATATTCTAAAGGTGACTGTTTAGCTTTAAGTCCGTCTTTTGGTCACACACACATCACATTTTATCGGTCAATAGAGTTTAAATAAATAAAGTAATAAATACTACAGGTATATAGTATAGAGAGCCGTAAATTTCTGATAATAAGACTTTATACAAAAGTCAATTGCTTGGGTACCTCTATCCCATTCGTGTTTCAACCGTGAAGTAGTTGTGTTTGCATGGCTGTGTTTCGGTTTGAAGGGTGGGATATGGCGTGAATTTACTGGGTACAGAGGAATAACACCTGAGTCCTCAGGAATGGCAACGCATGGGGGGTATCATGGGCGAAACAGTATACTCTGTTATGTCCATGCTACTGCTCATGTCTATAGGCGACGGTTACCACTTTTCATCAGGTGGGCCGTCAGCTTGTTTGCCATTCTAAGTTGTATAAAAAAAATAAAATAAAAAAAAATCCAAAATGAGCTTATACTATGAATACTAAACAGTCGATGGCCATATAGAATTTGAAAACACACGAACCAAAATAAAAACATAGACTTATGAATACAAAATGTTGGGGGGAAAGGGATTGTTAGTAATGACATAGCAATGGTGCTAGCAATATGCTCAGGTCAACCTCCACGCGGTTCCCCCTAGAAACCATCATGGTTAAGTCTTGTCGAATTCATCATGGTGGGCCAACTGACCTGCATTCATTCTCACCTATCGTCTTCCACTGATGCCTCGTCGGTGTACACCGATAGCGCGGGCAGGTTTACCATTCCATTTTCATCATTAAAAAAAAATACAAAATGTTTGTATTTTATCGGATTCGAACCCACGATCATTAGAAGATGAGGTGGTATGTGTCATGTCACTTATTACTTACTTATTCTAATCATTTATAAAGGCGCAAGTTTGTGAGAATGTATAAATGGATAATGTCACTCTTTCATACAAAAATTACTGAACAGATTTGAACAAAAATTGGTGCACGTATAGGTTATATTCTAACTTAAAATATAAAATACTTTATATAACGATACACGCGAGCGTAGCCACAGGATATAGTTAATTATACTACATTACTTATATCAATAATACCTTGTTGACAGATCGCTGCCAGAACACTGAAGAATGCATATATCGCAGCCTGTGGTCTACTTTCGAACAAAGATGCAACTGTAAGCACCAAGACGCAGAGTATACCAGCAGCAAAGGAGCCCCACCACACCCCGGCCGAGAGAGGGGACAAGAAGCGGTTTTCATAGTCACCCACGCCTTTATCCGGGATCAGATAATAAAACTTAGTTCTGTAATAAAAAATTCTATTATTAACTGAAACTCATTGAATATCTCACGAAATATTAAAAGATTGAGTTCCACAAAGACGAATTAAAAAAAAAACGAATTCAAGTATAGCAAAAGTGTGCGTTTTTCAAGGCACTTTCTTCCACGCAAAACAACTCTTTGGAATCAACTTCCAGCAGCAGTATTTCCGAACCGATACGACATCATAACCTTCAAGAAAAGAGCATATTCCTTTTTGAAAGGCCGGCAGCACACCTGCAATGCCGCTGGTGTTGTCGAGGATCATGGGCGGCGGTAGTCACTTACCATCAGGTGAACCGCATGATTAATTATTGAAGTTATAAAGAATCTGTTACAATTAGGTACTATATAAATAGTATAAAAATAAAAAAAAAAATTGCAGTTGCAATAAACTTGGACAATTAGATAAGATAGACAAACAACACCCGTTCACGAGTATGACGAGTAGTTAAATACCTTCGCAATCATAAATAACACGTGAAGAGACTCACTCGAGATTCGTCGCAGGAGGATAAAAGATGTCTACCCACTCGAGCCATTTCGGGAAGATCCTGGCGCAAGTACACGAAATGTCTTGTTCGCCCCAAAACAACGTATTGGTGACTGCCTGTACAAAATATAAATATAATACATACTTGTACAACTGGCAATACTTGCTATTAACTTTAAAACCGAACTACTGATTTTGATGATTTTTCTTAGGGACAAAACTACAAGTATAAATATATCAGAGACTTTTTTCGACGTAGTAATTTTTTTAATGAATGATAATGGAATGATAACCCCACCTGCGCTATCGGTATACGTTGGCGGGGCACGAGTGAGGGATGATAGGTGAGAATAAAAAGGTAGGTCAGTTAGCCAATCGTGATGAACACACCTGGAATTCAGCACGATGATTTCCAGGGGGAACCACGTGGAGGTCGACCTAATAACGGATATTGCTAGCAATAGGACTGGTAGTTCGCATTACTATTATTATTAATCCCTTTCCCCCTCGACGTAACGTTATTCGTAGTTTGAGTACGGACTGACTAGCGATCTAATAATTTGCCTGAGGATGTCTCGTTTAGAGGGGAAACACGTGTCGCAAAACGTGCGTAAACAAAATAGCAGTCGGAGATTAATTGCTAATATGGAAGGTTGCGATACTTCTGCTAGTAATAGTGGTGGTCAAACGTCGAGTGTTGGCAATCACACGCATACTAATGGTAACGGACTTGAAACAAACATAATAAAATTACAACCGAAATTTGGATCTTCTCCTTTATTTAAAATCGATTAATACGATACCATTCATCCTTACCAATGTTAATGAATAAATACAAACAATGAAGTTTGAAAATAACAAATCACAGAACAAATAACATTACCTTTGTAGAGTTTCTCGCGGGTTCTCCGATCCATCGTCCGACTATCGTATAATTGAATCTGCAAACATCATTATACATATGTATCAGTCAATATTAAGAAGAGACTGGACAGACTACGCGAGCTGTCAAACGAAGACGCCGCTCACTTCAGTCCAGTCGTGACCGCGACGTTGTGCAATCCACGTCGAAATGGCGACAATAAAGAAGAAGGTATGTAGGTACTATTTACCTATAAAAGCTTTTGATGTAAAAACGTTAAGTGCCAATTGTGTATTTAAAATATTTTACATATTATCCACTCGTACCGTGGATCCCTACGTAACCGAGGTTAGACTTGACTAGTTTACCAAGGGAGACTGTATAAAAGTCGTTTGCTTGTGCACCTCTGTCGCATTCATGTTTCTACTGTAAAGCAGTTGTGTTTGCTTGGCTGTGTTTCAGTTTGAAGGGTAGAATATGGCAGTGAATTTACAAAGTACAGAGAAATAACACCTGAGTCCTTAGGAATGGCAACGCATGGGGGGTGTCATGGGCGAAACAGTATACCTGAAATTGTGTTGCTCCATCAGAAGTTTCAGCAACTGCGCAACTATTTTGGTCATGGACGATATTCCCGCTGTGTACTGAATGTCGGTTAACATCTCCGGGTAGAATGTATTGGGACGGTCTCGAATCTATATAAATATTGCATAAACATATAGAAAGAATAATTATTTGATACTATATATACTATTTTTTATATTATATATTTTTATACTATATATACATGACCTTTCAGGTTTTCAAAATTGGAACGGACTCGCAAAACAAAACTTCAACGCATTACATTAAATTTATATTACATCAACGCTTCAAATTATTATCTATTTTTATTTACCCTAGTTAAACCGCTTCAAATACTAGGTGTATTTATTCATCATCATCATCATCATCATCATCATCCGTTCATCATCAAAACGCAAACGCACATCATTAACATAATTTTTGGTATAATAACATATAGAAAGAATAATTATTTGATACTATATATACTATTTTTTATATTCGTAAAATTAAAAAAGTACTGTATATGAAATGTATAGTACAAAAGTATTTCTTTTTCAAGAGGAAAAGGCTTTATTGATAGACTTAACAGAGAAGTGAAGCCGTTTAAAATAGAATAAACAAGATATCGTACAAACACACAAAAATACATCAAATCCGACATATCTTTAATACTTCGAAAATTTAATATCTTGCTTCCTACGTAAAAACTTCCATTTTTATTATATCTACATTACTTATGGAACTTAATAAGTTCTATTGATTGCGAATTATAGTTATAATCAAAGGTGACTTATAATTATCAAACAAAAAAATATACCTCTTTCTTTTTCAAATCGCTTTTGCATTTGAAGTCACAGGTTATCACTCCAAGTTATGATTTATCATAATCAATTTTAAAAATTCTAAAATCCTGATAGTTTCTTCATAATAGTTACAAATAAGTAACTACTTGAAACCGTTTCGATTAGAAATCCTAATCGATTCCAATGTATAATTTAATATTACCACAGTTTATTACAACATGAGAAATATTTAAACGAGCAGCGCAATCCATCGGTTAACAAACCCGGCTGATTGTATTAGGAGGAGCAGTTACGGCTTTCCAATACAATTTCAATTAGTACTCACCACCGACACGGCGCGGAGCGTCAAATTGTGGAAATCCCACCGATTGTAATATTGGAATCCCTTCACAGCGAGCCTCACGCCTGCGAAATGAGAACGTGACGCCGTAACACGGATCCAACATTACATTACACCCTGTCAACTTTTGTAATATTTAATAACATGTGTCAATATAATTAAAAACACAGATTAGATATTTATGCAGAACTTTGCAAACTTGTAAAGTATATGGGTCGACAACGCGCACGTGACACCTCTAGTGTCCGTAGGTTACAATGGCCGTTTACCATCAGACGGGCTGTATGCTTGTTGGCTACCTTCGTAGTATAAATTTTTTTTTTTTTTTAATCTAGAACCTAAGAAAACAGTTCAATCGAGAAGAATAAAGAAAGAACTACAGTATACAATGTTATTATCCATTTATTTACTTCCAAATCTCTATCTCTCATAGTTTTTTTTTTCTATATTAATACAAAATGCAAAGTTTTTTTTTTATACAACTTAGAATGGCAAGCAAGCTGACGGCCCACCTGATGGAAAGTGGTAACCGTCGCCCATAGACATGAGCAGTACCATGGACATAACAGAGTATACAGTTTCGTCCATGATACCCCCCATGCGTTGCCATTTCTGAGGACTTGGGTGTTATTCCTCTGTACCCAGTAAATTCACATCATTTTATTATTATTTTTTTACAATACAAATGCATGACAAATATACCAGCACAGTACCAGAGGCCTCCGTCCAAGTACCGGCGCTTACTCGCTCCAAGTGATTTCCTTGAATCCTGCCGAAGTTGTATACATCAGTAAACAGGTAATGGGTTCCTGAAACATAATATCGTGAACAACAATGTCAAAATTAGATTTTCTACAAAATCAATCTTTTCCCCGAGGAACCTAATTTGAAAATATTAAAATGAATCTAAAGTTATCTATTGGAGTACATAGTCACCGTGCTTATATGAGAGAAATGCTGTCTTCGGAGGGGGGACAGAGATTATTAATAATGGGGTCTAACATCCCCGTTGCGAACAATATAACCTACCAGGTCGACCTCCACTCAGTTTCCCCCTGGAAACCATCGTGATTAATTCTTGTGAAATTCGTCATGATGAACTAACTGGCCAGTTTTTATCCTCACCTTTCACCTCTCACTGGTACCTCGCCAGCGTATACCAATTGCACAGGCGAAGTAACCATTCATTTAAAAGCTGATTTTTTTATGCAACTTAGAATAGCAAACAAGCTGACGGCCCACCTGATGGTAAGTGATAACCGTCGCTTATAGACATGAACAGTACCGTGGACATAACAGAGTATACTGTTTCTCCCGTGATACCCGTCATGCGCTGCCATTGAATAAACAAATGAATGATTTATTTTCTCTTCACAAAAGTTGGTATAAAGTAACAACTTGAGGTACAATTAAATATGTAAGACCAATTTTGTGAGAGACTGGTGCTTGCAGTAGGTTTTATTGGATTGCCATTTCTGAAGACTCAGGTGTTATTCCTCTGTATCCAGTAAATTCACTGCCATATCCCACCCTTCTAACCGAAACACAGCCATGCAAACACAACTGCTTCACGGTATAAACACGAATGGTACAGAGGTATCCAAGCAAACGACTTTTGTACAAAGTCTCCCTCTGGTGAGCAAAAAAGATAAAGTATAAGTTAATTGTAGATGACAGAATAGAACCTATCATGAATTTAAGTACGTAATTACCCCGATAATCAGCCACTACTATGTCCGCATTTACGCTTAAATTAAGATCACAGAAGTGTTCATTAATAAAGTCAAGTGCATTGTTTCCATTTTCATTGCTCAGTACCAGCCACACGTGCATTGCATCAAATTGTTTATATCTGGATGCCTGAAAGATAAATAATGATTAATGCGTATCTAAAAGTTCGAAACGAGGATATCCGTAAAAGAACCAAAGTAACCGACATAGCCTGAAGGGCAAGCGAGCTGAAGTGACAATAAGCTAGTCACATAGCTTGAAGAACCGTTAACCGATGGGGAAAAAAGGATCTTGAGTGGCGACCCCGTCCATTCCGGCAATTGCAGTATGTACTATACTGCATCCTACCCCGCTACCCCCTCCCCCGCCCTCCACTAGATAAAATGACGACCTCAAATACATTGCAGGGAGTCAGTGGATGCAAGTGACTCAAGACAGTTTCTAACGGCAATCTATGGGGTGGCCTATGTTCAGCGTTGACAGAAACTTACCTCATTTAGAATAGGTATTATATTGTCACAATTTCCATCTAGAAGAACACCAACAGAGACTTTCCGATACGTTAAAAAAATTGGCTTGTATGTAGTATCTTCTCTGATATCTTTCACTGATATTCTTATGTCGTGCTCGAATAATTTTCTTACCAGTTGCATATTATCTGGAATGTTAACATCATCATACTGATCATCTAGTAATTTGGTATTTAAATCAACCGAAAAGTCTTTAAAATTAAGTCTTTTTTCCTAAATTCTATTATAACATTTACAGATCCACCTATTGATATAGTAACATTTTTGCAGATTTTTACCATTATGGTAACCGTAACTCTCGACATTTTTTATGCCATGCCTACATTTCGCCGAGCAATCTGGATAGTATAACTTATTTGAGGATCAATTTACTACTATCACTTGAGTTCATTACATTCTTTAATTTACTATTTACGAACGCTACATACGAAATAACCACGTTTAAAGTACATAACTTGAGATAGTATCATTCTCAAATAATTTGGTTAAAAGTTTGTAATTTTCATATTGAAACATGTTCGTATAAAATTAAAGTTAGGTTATTATATATTTGTAACTGAAAATGTTTTTATAGTTTCTTTTAAATTATTCAATAACATTATTCTTTGTAATAGAAATATTTTTAAAATATATTATTTGTATAAAGTACAAATTCTCATCTGTATCTAAATGGGACTGATGGAGCTCGCGTAATCTTTTAAAGATCAAAGTTACATTTGATATTATAGTTCATGAAAAATTTTGAATTACTTTAAAATTATATGTACAATAGATGGATTTTATATAAGCCGTTACCCGCGATTTCGTTCTTGTTACCTGGTTATATGTTCGTTGACTGGGATGAAAACTCTATATCCTAGTCCATCCTACATACACGTATATAAATAATTTGGTATAAACTAAATTTCATAATAATAGATATAATATTTTAAAGCACAAACAAACACACTGACATTTATCATTTATCATCATCATCACATCATCCATAAACTGTCCACCGCCGAACTTTTTCCCAGTAGTTACTACGGTTGGCAGGCGACTTGGCAACTGTAGTTTACTTTTGGTGACGTTTTAAGAGGGTGCTACTGTCCATCTCTCGACTCTTAAGTTCCCTTAGTCATCTCTTACGACACTCACAGGAAATGAAGGGATGGTTATTTCTATGCTGGACCACACGGCAACATTTTATCACAATAGGTCCAGTAAATTTTACATGAAAAGTGAGATTTCGGGCAACAGATATTTAAGAATAAAAATAGATCTATGAAAGAATGTATGCAATATATTTCAATTCAAATCTGTTTCTATTTACTATTAATTTATTACTCACAATGTTGAATTTCACACGAGAAATAACAAACGAACTTCACATTTTTGAAGTGGAAGTAATCAGCCGCCATCCGCTCCGCTGCTGGTTTCAGGCTGATGACGTTTCTTACTGCACTGATGGTAATGGTAACCACAAGTAGAAATCCCAGGTGCTTCATATTTCCGTCCGTACAATAATTAAGACCCTTAAAATATTATTATTATTCAAAATAAAATTTATAAACACCACTTCCACCCACTGGATGGAATGTTTATTCCATCCACTTAAAGTTACACATACCAGAGGGAGACTTTGTACAAAAGTCGATTGCTTGGGTACCTCTGTCCCATTCGTGTTTCTACCGTGAAGCAGTTGTGTTTGCATGGCTGTGTTTCGGTTTGAAGGGTGAGATATGGCGTGAATTTACTGGGTACAGGGGAATAACACCTGAGTCCTCAGGAATGGCAACGCATGGGGATATCATGGGCGAAACAGTATACACTGTTATGTCCATGATACTGCTCATGTCTATAGGTGATGGTTACCACTTTCCATCAGGTGGGCCGTCAGCTTGTTTGCCATTCTAAATTGCATAAACAAAAACGTATTTAATCGTAAATCTATATAATCGTTATAGATAGATAGATAGATAGTCTTCATTATTTCCTCCAAAAGATTACAATAGCAAACTTATTATAAATATAAACAATTACAAGAAATAATCACGATGAGAAAACAATGGGCGACCTTATCGCTAAAAGCAATCTCTTCCAGGCAACCTTTGGATGGAGAGGAGAAATTATAAACAATTTTATACGTACTAACAATATTCTGAGATGCGCATTTTGTCCGTCTTTTCCCTTCCGCTGTAGATATTTACATAGTTTTAATTAAGTTGTCTGATTCAGTCTCGGGACGCGACGTCGCGTCGTTACGTACAAGTTTCATAATTTAACTGCTGCGATTCAATATTTAGTTTCGACTTGTGAAATAATCGTTTCAGTTATCTTTACATGAATTGCATTAAAAATATAAGGACAAAAAAACAATGAAAATAATAAATAAAACATATTCGGTTTACTACTAGCGTCTCTCGGATTTTTTTTTAATGAATGATAATGGAATGGTAACCCGCCTGCGTTAACGGTATACGCTGGTGGGGCACCAGTGATATGATAGGTGAGAATAAAATAGTAGGTCAGTTAGCCCGTCGTGATGAATACACCTGGAATTCAGCACGATTTCCAAGGGACTACGTGGAGGTCGACCTGACAGGATATATCCCATTGCTAGCAATATATCGCTAAGTAATTGAAAAGTGGTAACCGTAACTTATAGACATGAACAGTAATCATGAACATGACAAAGTATACTGTGTCGCCCATGATACCCTTCATGCGTTGCCATTCCTCAGGACTACGATTTTATGCCGCTACGCTATGAATCCATTAATTTTATTGTCATATCCCACCAAAACAAAACCATTGCAAACACAACTGCTTCTCGGCAAAAACACGAATGAATTAGAGGACTTTACAGAAGTCTCCCTATGAGTGTTTTATGTTTTCCGTAAATTACATAGTAAAAATAAATTTAAAAAATTTATATATAGACTTATTAATTTCTAGATCATGGGATTTTAAACACCAGAGGGCGTCTTTATACAAAAGTCGTTTGCTTGGGTACCTCTGTCCCATTTGTGTTTCAACCGTGAAGCAGTTGTGTTTGCATGGCTGTGTACGGAGGAATAACACCTGAGTCCTTTGGAATAGCAACGCATGGCGAAATAGTATACTCTGTTATGTCCATAGTACTTCTCATGTCTATAGGTGACGGTTACCACTTTCCATCAGGTGGGCCGTCAGCTTGTTTGCTATTCTAAGTTGTATAAAAAATATTTTTAGTTTTTCGTATATATAAATTGGAATAAAAAATATTAGAATAAATAATTACATATTTGCATGTACATAGGTACAGGCTATACATTTGTCAGTGTTCAATGTATGTAGTATGTAAATCAGTAATCGCTATGTAATATAATCCTGGGCATGCTCCATCAATACATTAGGTTTAAGCTTAATTAAATAGTATAACTACAAATATATACTCGTAAATATTTAAACTAAAACTTAGTTAATATATTTGGGTTTTAAACAATAATTAACTAGTAAACCATTAAAAAACCAGTTAGTTTAATTTCAAAACTACAGTACTGAACCGATTTTGATAAAATTCCTATGCGATCAATCTGTAAGTAAGTATATCCTTTCAGATAAAAAAAAATCCAAATCGGTTTACAACTGACGAATTTTTAGAGGGGAAAGGGGTTGTTAATAATGTGAATGAGCAATCTTATTACTAGCAATATACCCTATCGGGCCGATCTCCTCGCGGTTCCCCCTGGAAACCATCCTCATTGATTCAGGCGGGGATACCATTCCACGATCGTCGTTTAAAAAAAATCTATCGGAGATTTGAAACAGTAAAAAATACAATCGAATTGTGAACCTCTTTCTTTTTCAAGTCGATTGAGAATTAATTAATCTTTTATTAAACTCACTTATAATGTAACACTTAAGAAAATTAGCGTAAATTTTTGTATCAATAATTACGTATTATGAAAAAAAATTAATTATTTATTATTTTTTTCATAATACTTAAAATATCAAATATATAAAAGGCCCACCTAAAAGATGTAACCGTCACCTATAGAAAAAACAGCACCATGGTCGTCACAGAGTATTCTGTGACGCCCCTGGTACTTCTCATGCTATTGTTGATGAAAATGACTATTTTTTCTTAATCATAACCAAGATAAAACATAACTATTATAACTTTAATGCTTTTTATTGGCTTTAAATTAAAATCTAATCCCTCTTTACCGGTTTATTAAAAAATCACAGAGAAGTGTGACAATTCGCGCGAAATCCACCATAACCATATATTGCGGCGGGTCGCATGTGGCGAGTGCAGCTGACGGCCGGCGATCCGCAAATACGCACGTCGCAGGGCCGACGGCCGACGGCCGACGCGCGCGGTGCAGTTTGCATTACGTGCGAGATGCTCACCCGACCGCCACCGACCACCGACACTCTCCCAGAGAGGAGACGTTTCCAAAACTAAAACAATTTTTACCAGAGGGAGAATTTGTACAAAAGTCGATTTCTTGGGTACCTCTGTTTCATTCGTGTTTCAACCGTGAAGCAGTTGTGTTTACATGGCTGTGTTTCGGTTTCAAGGGTGGAATACGGCGTGAATTTACTGGGTGCAAAGGAATAACACCTGAGTCCTCGGGAATGGCAACGCATGGGGAGTATCATGAGCGAAACAGTATACTCTGTTATGTCCATGTAATAACATATACCACTAAGGTGGCAAACAAACTTACGGCCTACCTAATGGTAAGCGGTTACCTAGCGGAGAATAGGCCACCCCTTCCTTTCCCGTGAGTGTCGTAAAAGGCAACTAAGGAACGACGAGGGATAGACAGCAGCGTCTGTCTTAAAACATCTCCAAAGCCTAACTGTGGTTACCAATCCGCCTGCCAAGCGTTGCAACTACTGGAAAACCCCCCAAGGGAGAGGCTTCTGTTCAGCAGGGAACAGTCAAAGGCTGATATGGTGATGGATTACAAATCATTACATAATTTTTATGATTTACATAGTACATAGTACGTTTCACAGGAAAGTATTTTTTTTGTTGTTATTTTTTTTTTTATTTTAACAAAAGGTTTCTCTAACTACAGAAATCCTTCGATACATAATTGGCGGTAACAATTCGCAAGCATAACCTCATGCGATCGGCAATCATATGCTCAAACTGTCATTCATTCACGTGGTCGCTCTATTTAATATTTACATGCAAATTGTGTTCAGGTTCGAGTGAATTAAACACGGAATTATGGCTTGTTATATGTGACCCATTATCCAATGGTTGTTTGTCACGCTTTAATTATGAATAATGAGGTTGGTTTAAAATTAATGTTGTATATAGAATATAGAAAATCCGAAACGAGGATATCCGCGAAAGAACCAAAGTAACCGACTAAGCCAGAAGGATATGCAAGCTGAAGTGGCAATGGCCTGACCACATAGCTCAAAGAACCGACAACCGATGGGGAAGAAAGGTTCTTAAGTGGCGACCACGTACGGGTATAGTTTTAGTCGACTCCCCCCCCCCTCCACTAAATGGAGTGACGACCTCAAATATATTGCAGGGAGTCTGTGGATGCAGATAGCTTAAAACAATTCCTTATGGCAGTCTATGGAGCAGGCCTATGTCTAGCAGTGGACGGATAATAATAAATGATGATGATAATGACGATAATAATTTAATTAAAAATATCAAATACCATTAATTAAAAATAACCATTAAAATCGGTTATTAAACAAAAAATTGCATACAATGAAATAGAAATTAATAGTTTTAGAGTGCTGTTCCCCAACAGCTAGCTCGCTTTTGTACCGCTTCTAGCATGTTTGCTCAATCTCGCGTAGATGACTACTACGCTATAAGGAGAAAGAGAATTGCATCATTGCTACTTAGGGACAGGACAAGCACCAACAGCATTCTAAAAGTAATAGGCAATAAATATAACTCGCCTATAATTGGGCATTTCATTCAGATGCTGTTCTAGTCGGCTGGCTCACATCTGAGTGAACTGCTTTAATTAATTTGCTTTTCTTTTTTGTTAACATAGTTTGTAAGAAAACTGTTACCAACAAAATGGACCAAATTGTAGTCTGAATAATAAAGAATACTATTATTATTATTAAATATAGAAAACAGAATATTTAAAATGTAATTTTAGTATCCTTAATAAAGCTTCAAGTAAAATATTACGAGTATTAACTACAAATTTAAAAACTCTTTAGAAAAACTTGTTCTCTATTTTGTAAAATATGATTGTACACATGGAATTATTTTTTATACATTTATATAGCACTTTATGTATCTTCTTTTTTATATGTGCTTGTGTTTACATTAATTACTTAAACTGTGCACATAATGTAATTGGATTGTAACCTAGCTGTATCGCAAATATAAATACTATTTGAGTTTTTTTATGGTTATACTTATCGCTAAATATATATAAATATATATATATATATATATATATATATATATATATATATATATATATATATAGATATTTAAATATACATACCTACGTATGAATAAAATATACGTCAAATTCTAGTGATAGCGTAAATAATTGAATAAAGTTATAGGTATCTCTTATTTTTGTAAGAAAGCCTCTAAGAGTGTCTTGTTAACTGGCTTACTTAGGCCATTACCGGCGAATTATTGAAAGAAATTGTTCGCCTCGGGACACTGATTTCTAACTTTACACGAGAATAAACCTTAAAGGCTAAGTATCAAGGTTGCTTTTAATGAAATTCCACCAATACAACGCTTTCGAGGAAAACCGATCCGATTTTTTATGGGTTCCCCTTAATAATGTAGCATGTAGCTCCATTAGCCACTAATTAAAGTCGAGCAGATCCTTTGACTGTTGCGCCGTTTTATTTCTACATATTTCAATATTAATTCATTTGCAATTTAATCCAAAAACGTTGCGCCGAATTCGCTAAGTCTTTATTGTTTATATTGCGAAGTCATCTATATGTATGTATACATACACATTCTTACTTATACTTGTAGTATAAATGTGAAAGTGAGTTTGTTCATACGTCACTTTATAGCGACTAAACGGTTTAATTAATCACTATAATGAATCATAAAGGAATGTTAACAAAGGAGATTGTTAGATTATGTATTTTGTTTTTGTATTTTTGTTTTTTTATTTTTATTCTTTTGTCTCTTTTGCTGTGTATTACGTGTATGTTTTTTTTTTATTGTAATTTGTGTGCTGTAAGTAATGCAAATAAATTGTCTATCTATCTATCTATCTATCTATCTATAAAATTTGGTATACACTTACTTCATAGGATTTTTTTTTATACAACTTAGAATGGCAAACAAGCTGACGGTCCACCTGATGGAAAGTGGTAACCGTCGCCTATAGACATGAGCAGCACCATGGACATAACAGAGTATACTATTTCGCCCATGATACCCCCCATGCGTTGTCATTCCTGAGGATGAATAACTATATACGTTATATTAACTTTTTTACCAGTGACTTCGTCCGTATGACCGGGCTCTGATTACTGACCGGGCTAAAAAAGCCGATTGCTTGGGTACCTCTGTCCCATTCGTGTTTCAACCGTGAAGCAGTTGTGTTTGCATGGCTGTGTTTCGGTTTGAAGGGTGGAATATGGCGTGAATTTACTGGGTACAGAGGAATAACACCTGAGTCCTCAGGAATGGCAACGCATGGGGGGTGTCATGGGCGAAACACTTTACTCTGTTATGTCCATGGTACTGCTCATATCTGTAGGCGACGGTTACCACTTTCCATCAGGTGGACCGTCAGCTTGTTTGCTATTCTAAGTCGTATAAAAAAATCTACTGTCTAGTGTCTGTAAAAATCTAGTGTCTGTATATAGGAGAAAAAAATTATACAAGTAGTATTAATAAAAGCAATAGAAGCCAGAACATTACTTTTTATAATTTTTGACTGTCTGTCTGTATAGTTGTTACGGTATTAAACTACATGCATTTTCATATTTGTGCTCCCGAGTTCTTTTAAAAACTCTATGATGCTATATTTTTTTTAATTCATCTTTACGTGAATATATAAATATACCAATTTTATTTTTACCTCCGAAATGTAATAGTACCCATTCATAACAATCCTATATAAAGAAGCAATCGGAAATATTTATTTATTTCGATCGCTTATTACTAAGAAACCGTTTGGATGAATTTCTACGGAACCAATACGAAGCGCCGTACCGTAAATTTCTCTACTAAAAAACAAAAAAGGTTTTATTTAATACAAATCAACTATCGAAGCTACACTAATAATTTTTTCTCTTTAAAAAAAAAACATCGATTTTGTAAAAAAAAATGCACCCACAAATAACAAGACATTTCATGGAGATATATTAAATAAATATTTTAATGCAATCTTCGGAATCGATTTGCTTCGCAGAAGTTTTTTGCTCCACAAAAAAAGGCAATTTTAATCATTTCATAATATAGGAGTAAACTCTGTCGATTTTAAAAAGAATTATCAGAAACGGTACGGAATTGGTGACGTAATCGCATAACATATAAAAATAAAATACAAATTGAAGAAGGATGTCTTTTTTTAAAAGAGCTCAAACCCTTCTAATACGAGTGTAGTAAATTTGTAACTAGCGGATATCTGTACATAGGAGATATTTGAAAAAAAAAATTAAAACTTTAGTTTTCAAATCGGTAAAGGAAGGGGTGGCCTATTCTATGCCGGGACCACACGGCCAATATAATATAATCAAATCAAATTTATTAATAGTATCATATAATATTTAATCTGGTACATATTTTATCTTAATATCTACTCTATGAGCAGTGTTCATTGTTTTTTTTTTTATTTCTAAATACGTGCAAAGTAGCGGGCAACAAACTATGTTAGTATATATATATATATATAAAACTAAAGACTGCGATATACAGATAAGCAGACCATAACTATAAAAGTTTTATATGGTACCCTTATTAAATTTACCAGCGGACTCGCATGGAACTCCGACACCATGAAACAAACTAGTCGACATGGGACCAGATTTACAACTAAGAAATTATTTGGTAACGTAGTAAATTTTACTATTGTTACTACAAATTCCTTCTCCAGTAACATGGGATAGATGTATCATTAAATATACATACTATACGATAATGATTATATGTATAATTTCTACTAAACATGTTTAGTTTTTACTCAATAAATAAATGACTTTAAAAATAATAAAATGGGTATTTTTTTAATACCACTGAGGTCTAGAACACCTGCAATACCAGAGGTATTACGCGTGCGTTGCCGACCCTGAAGAAACCTCTTTACCCCCATTTTGAAGAACCCCATGCTGTAATCTCTTGGGAAAACC